TTTTATTAATTACTAGTCGAAAAAATATTGAATTGTAAGGTATACAATTTTTTACATCAATTTAAAAAGTGTAATTTTAGATGGAAAAATACGAAATTTGTCTGAAATCGGTCGAATAGTTCCTGAGAATTTAAAAATGTGATTTTCTCAAAATTCGATTTTTGCATTTGAAAGAATTTCGATTAATGTTGTACATTTTACCTAAATATTGGGATATTTGTTGTAAAATATTGCGTTTTTGCGTGAAACATGTAAACTATTTTTCTGAAACAAAGAGCAACACTTTTTACTTCAAATTTATACGATCACTTACAGAATTTATTCTTTTCCCCTAACGCAGATCACATTCCCCCCAGGTAGTAGAGTTTGCAGGGAGCCCTAAGTGATATTCCCTCATTTTAATTTATTTCCATTAGTTTTACATTATATTTAGTTTATATTATCGTTAAAATGCATTAAAATAAAAATGTATTAGCATTTGAGTTTGGATAGCCACTTCCGTCTCATTGAACGCTAAGTCATTTATTCAATTAATAAAACTTATTTAACAAACAAAGTATTAAACTTGATTAGAACTTTGAATTTGAGAGAAAAAAAATGGTTTATCACTAAATTAGGATATATTTAGTGATGTAATTAAAATACTTTTTTTTAAACATCGGTTTTTCATTGCATGTATTATTTCTAAACCCAAAGAAAAATTTTAATTAAAAACAAATGTGAGATTTTTGCTACAATTTTGATTTCTAAGCAGCTCTTCTTTTTTTAAGAGTTTTAGTCAGTTAACATGCAAAATATTATACTTTGATCTGATAAAAACGAAACTTAAAAGCAATTCTTTGAAAAATTTAACAGAAATCAACTACGAATAAATTATATTTGTTTTTAAACAAACACTCAATTTTAATACTTTGTTCATAAAGTATTTAATAGATATAGCGAATTAATCATTTTACAAAGCAAATTAATTTTTACAAGCTTAAACATGTATAAACAAGAAAAAGCAAGAAACTTAATGCACGCAAATGGGAGACTCCCTCTTGGGAAATGTAGAATTGCAAAAATCCAAAAGGAGAGAAAAAAAATCTCTCTAAGCAAATTCTGAAAACAAACGAAGCAGCTCGGTTTTAATTAAGCATATCGAGATTGGAAAACAGAAGAATGCTCATTTCGAATTGATGCTAGTTAATTAAAACTTACTAAAAGTTATTCCTTATTTTGAAATGAATCGTTTTCTTTTTTTATTCTAATTTTTTTTATCCAAATAAAAAATGGATTTAAATTAATAATGATGGCTTCGGTATTTTTTTCGGTAAAATTATTCATTTTAAAACGAAATTCGACCATACAATTTTTACCATCAACAAAGTAAATGGATTTTTTAGGTATGTTAGAAATTCAGGATGTTTTTAACCACACTATCGTTTAAATATATTTAAAGCTACTTTCGTTAAATGAGTAAAAAAAAGTACGTTTGAAAAACTTACAGGGTTTTAAATATAAAAACTTACATAACAACAACTCTCTACCTAATGATAAGATTATTATTAATGATAATGATTAGACAATTATTCAAGAAAAATATACATAAATAAATTTATTTATAATTTTTCATGAAATGTTGTATTTTGAAACTTCGATTTTTGTGAATTGTTCAACTTGGCTAAAATTAAGTAGCGTAACATAATCTAAAACTAAGTTAAGACTAAATGACAACCAAGTGACTAAAATTAAGTAGTAGCATAGCATTTGACAAAAAAGCATAGCATAATGTGAAGGAGTTGCTAACTTATTGTTCAAATTTTTTTCGACCATTAATTCATTATTAATTAATAAATAATTGTTAAACTACTTTTTCTTGATAGAATTTCATGTTAATGATTAATATACTTGTGAGAACGATTGTTAAGCGCAATTGCCAGACTGGACTATCGGATTATATTTCGCCGAGAGCATCTACCTTCAATCTGTTGTAACTTAAACTTTAAATAGATTTAAAAAAATATCATCTTAACTCAGAGAAAGTACTTTTTTTTGCCTAATATTACGTCACAAAAATTTTAATATTTGGCAATAATTAATGAATATATTCTAAATGTGACCCTTTAACTATGAAAATTACAACATTTAATTTGAAGCTCTATTATTAATTCATATCTGATTCAAGCGGTTTTTAATTTAATTTGAAGCAAAAAAAAGTTTCAGAATATTTTTTGAAACATTTTAAAAGTTTTAAAGACCAAAAATTAACATTCAAGGAATCATTTGTGGAGAACTGATTGAGCCGTTATGAAACATGATTTGCAACATGAGATATGATGCATGCTAAAGGATGGAAAACAGACAAAATTTAAATGTTAAGAACGGTTTTCTCTTAATATTTTAGAAACGCGCACTCAAAAAAATTATAATAAAATGTGGCAGATATTCAAGAAATTGAAATATTTCCAATTTGACCTTAAAAATTATTTAAATGATGATTAAAGTAAATTTTCATAACAATTTAAGGCACTTCATAGCTTGGCATAAAACAAATAGTTTCGTTTTAAATTATTATCTTCATATTTAAATCTCAATTTTGAATTAATATTAGTTAAATCTAGCTTATAATCATCATATTATTTTTTAGTAATTGCAGATTACATTTTCTAATTTCATAAGTGTCATTTGATTGGCCTATGCCATACCTATAGACTTAATTACTCAGTCTACAAGACTGTTGTAGTTGATGCTATAGTTACGAATGTGAAACGTGTAGAATTCTAAGTTTCTGAAACTTATATTGGAAAGTTTTCTAAGCAAACTTTACTCTAAAATTTGAAGATTTTTTAAAAGTAAATTTCTCGTTCTTTTTTTTAAAAAAACATATCGTATGGGCTAATTTAGTCGTGTTATAACATGATACATTTCTTAGTAAGATAGCGCAGATTCTAAAATTTAAACAGTAAATAACTCAAATGTGGTGTACTAGTGTTTAAGTGAACAAGAAGTATCCTCCAGGCGAAAAAAAGTTCTTCTTTTAATTCGAAGTAAGCATTAGAATTTTTACATGAATTAATTACAAATTACAACACGAAAAATATTTTATTTATTTTACGCTGTAAAAGACTTCGGATCAAGTAACTATACAAAGTACCGGCACTTTGGGTGCATCACCCGTAAAATCCATTTTACTGTAAAATTAATTTTTTACCTTAAAATATTATACCGTAATTTTTATAGCAATATTTATTTAATGAGCGAAATTCAATGATTCTACGATTCATTGTTGCAAAAATTGCGGTTTATGAGATTTTTTTGTCCGTAACATATTTCGGTAAAAATTACCGGCAATTACTGAGTGCTGATACTTTTTATCGTAATTTGATCCAGAATTATTTTGCAGCGTATAAGAGTTTTCTTAATTCACATGAGTTAAAAATATCTTATTCTATAATATAAATATGACGTTGTATTATTAAATCATGTGTGTAATAATATACTTAAAAAAATAAATTATAAAAAAAGTTAAAAATTATTACAAAAGTAATCATGTTATACGACATATCATCAAAAAGAAAAGAAATACGAAGTATTTCTTTCTCATTTTATAAATGTAAAATTAACAAAAAATAACATACTTTAAAATGCTATAAAAGTCAATATTAGGTTAAAAAAAATATTTTTCAAATTAATTTTTTCTCTCAAAGCATGGAAACTAATATTTATTATGAAAAAAAAATCATAAGGTCTGAGTTATAAGGTTAAGCGCAACTTTATAACTCAAGTTTAGGATAAAACATTCTTAAAAGTGATATTTACAATAAGTAACAAAGTTAATTTTTTTTTAAAGTTTCTCTCAATTCATCGAGTTTAATTGAAGCAAAAAAAGCAATTTTAATTTTTTTAAAGGACCTACGTTATAAATAGTATTGTGCTATAATGAAAATCTCGTCATATTTTAAGAAGAAGAAATTATAAACAAGAAAAAAAAATTTTGTTTGATTTTTACAATAAATCAAAATTTTTTCTGGAACCATATTTTTGTATGTTAGTTTAAAAGCTTGAAAAATTATTGCATAAAAACACGCGTAACATTGAAAAATACTAAAATTTCAAATGCCAACAAAAATCTTAATTTTTTTTCATTATCTATAGACGCAAAATTGAAACTTAAATCGAGACAGAGATCAGTTTTCTTCAAGTTTCAAATTAAAAAAAAGTTCAAAAAAAAGAGAGAAACAAAATAAAAGTAAGAAATAAACTGGGTTCCTACTCAATTTCAGAAAAAAAATTCCCTGATTGCCTAAAATTTTTATATTTTCAATTGATGAAAATGTCAATACCAAAGAACCAATTTGAATTTTTTTTACTTTACTTTTCGAATTTATTTTCCGTATTACTTTTTAGACAAAATTATTTTTTGAAAACTTGATGACTTTCAAGGTTGTGTGTCCTCTTAAAAATGATGTAACCCTTTGACGCAGTTGGGACGCCTGTGCACGTTTTATATATTTTCTTCTGATGCTCTAACTTCGAGAAAAAATATATTTTGCTATTTTTTAAATGTAAAAAAGTTTAACAATTACTAAAAAAAAGTCTGATAGATTACCGGAATTATGTTTGTAATAAATATAAAATCCAAAAAATAGTTTATATTCAAAAATTTAACAATAATTGGTTTTGTAAATTAAAGAAATTTCAATGATAAATAACTGTTTCTCATAGGTCTAAATAACAGTAAATAAGTACGAATTTGAAAAATTATTGTTTGGATGTGTGTTTGAAAGATTACCTTAAACTCAGAAGAAGATAACTGTGTTTCATGCTGTATTTTATAACCATAAATTATTAAAATGCTAAATATAATTATTTTTCACTTATTTTGATCTAAATTAATATAAACTAAGGAAAAAAGTATGAGAAATATGTCTAATAAAAATTATGCGACAAGGAGATAAAATTTTTTTAAAGGATGTCACAAAATATCTAATTGAGGATAAGTTAAAAACGTTACTTACATCCATTTTATAGCAAGACCTTCCGGCAAAAGCAACAAAAGGAGTAAAATATTTAACCAAAGAATGGTCATCTTTCACCACTTCAAGAAAAAACCACTACCAAAAACATCAACTCATTCAAGAACACATGATTGACCATCAGTCAGCGTGGAACAAACGGCAAGGTGAATGAGACCGCATCTCATGTGTTCCATCCACACTTCCCAAACGATAAGTAAGATCCATGTGGAAAAGGATAGAAGGAGAGGAATTTTTTTTTGCTCCACCCCTGACGGCCAACCAATAAGAGCTCAGAATCCTGTCCAAGTTTTCTTTTTTCGAATCTTTTTTCCTTTCTATTTCGTTTCAGACGCAATTTTTTTATTTTTCTTCAAAAGACCGCTGCCCGTTGATGAAGTGGGGTGCTCAAATCGAAATGAAATGATAATTCGAAGGAAAAAGTGTATGACACTGGAAAGAATTTCTTAATTCTTGTTTCGGTATCCGTATGGTGGAGGTAGGATGGGAGATGTGATATGAGTTATTATCTTTTGTCTTCGTTTGAAAGTGGCGAGATAAAGAACGTGTTGTAAATTTATCCCAAACAAGGGTTTTGTTCTTTTTAGAACAAATTTGCTTGTTTAACAACGGAAAGAATGCATATTGTTTTTGTTTTATTCATTTTTTTTGGCACGTCTGTCTATTTTGTGCTCAATACTAGAGCCGATGGTTGTGTTTTATATTCGTCTTATATTCTTCCATGTTCAAAAAAATTTTTTTTTGAAAAATAAATGTATAAATAAAATTTTTTAGATTAGCGTTAACACACCTTTATAGCTTACCTTACATACTTTACGAACTATTAAGTAATTTATGTTTCAAAAATACATAAGGTTGTAAGAATATAACATTTTGATGTAACATGCTTCATAAGAAATATTTTAAAACGAGAGAAAAAAAATTGCAAGTACCATATTTTTAGAATCATATTCACCATAAAATTTTCTTTTTTTAAAATAAAATATGATTTACAGAATAACAAGATATACATTGGATAAAAGAAATTGATGTAACTTGAAACTTATTGGTATATTCGAATATTTTATAAAGATATATTCTCATCGAAAATTAGAAATAGAAAAACTCAAATTGTAGAGAATAGAAAAAAATATGTGTAATTTTATTTCTTAATGAAAGAAAAAATTTTAAAATTTTCGTGAAACCCTGCAACAAATAAAATTACTATCCAGCCACAATGTAATTTCAAATTCGTGCTACAATAAAATTCAATAATCTTGAAATAGTATAATTTAACATTTCTTCCACATTATAGTTTAACATTTAAGACACAATATAATTTAATATTCTTTCCTAAGTATTATTCAAAAGTTCTACCAAAATATAATTTAAAAATATTGCAATATTATTATTTAATATTCCTGCCACTGTATAATTTAATATTTGTGCTACAATATAATTTTGAACGGATCGGTTTAGTATAATGTATTATGAATGTATGTAGATGGATGTTTAGCTGTATAGATTTATATGGAAAACATTGTACACCAAGTACACACAGATTTTTTTTTGTTTGTTTGTTTAGAAAGACATAAAGGAGAAGTGGGACTGCTGAAAATTAGACTAAACATTGTTCTGATTTTCTAACTCTTTCTCAGTTAAGGCATCATACAGGCTTTTAAAAATTTATGTAAAAAAATTACAACACTCTTGAGAACATAATTTAAACACTAAAATTAATATTTGTTCCTAAACTCAAAAATTCAAAATATTGCAATTTTGAATTTTTGTTCAAATTAATTAAATCCAAAATTTTGGGTTTACGACTACCATCGTTCAACTACGTAGCCTTGTAATTTTGAACCCAATCCAGAAGACAAGGGAACTCCTGGATCAAATATTAGAAAAATTTGCCTTTGTGGAGGACTTTTTGATAGAACTAACCTGCATTTGCGTTACATGCAGAGGAAAACCACGAAAACAACCCACGGTTAGCCTGACTGCAAGGGGACTCCCATGATCCGTCTACCACAGAGGAAATTTTGCATCCACATTGTGGTTGGTGCGAGCCTGGTGTGGATCGAGTTCGAATCGACCAGTCACCACTTGGATTCGAAGCCGGGCCACTTCATGCACAGGTGATCGTTCTATTCCCTGAGCCTCCACGCACCACAGAGGGCATATTAACGTTCATCTTAACTCAATTTTTTTTTAAATGGCTCTACTCATAGTTATAAAAGTGGTGTCTTCTGGAGTGCCTATGTGTTATAAGATAAAACCGTTTACAGCGATACCTGTTGAAAAACTGGTGAATTAGCATTTTTCATGAACAAGGTTAGAGGGGTAAAAAAAAGGAATTACTATGTTGCCGTGCATTATCGATTCAGCCTGCTTTGAGAAATGAAAAAAAACGCGCTTATGTTAATAATTTTTTTACCCGTGTACACCTTTATATTGACTTTACGAAACGATTTTAGAAAAAAAATGATTAGATCGATTAAAATAATTTCTATGAAACGTGGAAATTGAAATTATCGAAAATAAATTTCTTGTGATAAATAGCATTTTTCACTCTTGAAGATCGTAGCGACACATCGCATAGTGGAAAATCGTGAACAAATAAATGCGGGTTTTTCCGTAACATTTTCGTCTATAGTATAGCGTTTCTTAGCATTCAAGCATTCATATTAACTAAATCGATAATGCTCCACAACTTTGCAATTCATTTTCCTCCCATATATCACACTTGTAAAGGTAGGTACACTTTAATTCTGTAGTATTTCACTAAGTGGCGTTTTAAATGGTTTTATCATGCAGAATACATGGATCCAAATAAATTTTACAATTACTATATGTGCGATGATAAACAAACAATTTTGAAAAAAAAATCACAGTTCTTCGTAAAAAAAAAAGCTTCTATTCATTAAAATTTACAAGTTCTACTTTTTTAAAGTTTCTATAGAAGGTGTTATAAAAGTTTGAAAACGAACAAATATCTCGAGAAATATACATTGGATCGAAAAAATGAAAAATGATGTCAATCAATATTTTAAAAGTCATTCAATAATTCTAAACTCGATTTTTTAACTTTAAATATAAACCTCTATTTTTTATTGCTGGTTTTGATTCTCCAGAAAAAATTAACCCTATTTGAGTTTAAGGTTTATGCATTTTGCTTCCCAGATGGCGCTGTAACCAAAAAAAAATTAAATGGGGTACAAGCTGTTTAAAATGATGAATCTCAAGACTAATCGGTTTAGATAAAAATACATGTTAAAAATAATTTTGTATCGATTTTTTAATTTTTTTTCTTTCAAAAAAGTATACAGAAACATTTTTGGTTTTATTTATTTCTATTTTCAATCTTGAGAAGGCGTCACGAAAAGATAGACTAAGAAGATTAATATAAAATCGTTTTTTTTTTAATTGATTTTAAAAAAAAATACCGATATAATTTTATTTTTATTTTCAAACTGAGGGGCCCCGAGCTACCACCATTTTAAACAGTTTTCACTCTTTTTAATTTTCTCTTAAGAAGTGCCATATGTGAAGTAAAATGCGAAAAAACTGTAACTCAAATAAGGTTAGTCTTTTCTGAAGAATCCGAATTTGCAACAAAAAAAAGAGGTTTATAGAGATTTCAGTGTTGCATCCGGCCTTAGAATATTAAATCGATGGTGTTCTATTACTTCGAAATTTAATTTTTTCCCTTATTTAACAGCGTTTATAATGTAGGAACGCTAACTTCGTATCACCAAGGGATGCAGCAGATGGTTCCACCATGCAGACAGGATGAGCTCTATTAAATTATTCAATCAATAAAGGTACTTAGAAAAAATCACAGCTCCCCTCAAAAAATACAAATTGCAAGCTCTACTTTTTAATTATTAAATTTTTAATTAGCGTGGAAAAAAGTAATTGAAATCTAATAAACTGAGTTAACATTGTTGTCGAATTTACGGACCAAAAATGAAAGAACGTAGAGAAAAATTGTAACTGTTTCATAAAGGGCAGTTTTTTTAATCATAAATCTCTTCATAACATGCTAAATCGTACTCACCGAAGCGATTCACTAAAACAAACAGTCCGTGCCTTAAGTCACTCATGCATATAACTCTCGAAGAGTAATAACTAATTATGAGATTTTCATATTCCAAAAGAAACATATTTTATTTAAGTTACATCCTTCTTCAAAAAATGATACAATGTAGTCGTTTGCTAGACACGATAATAAATGATAAAAGTCAAGGGCTCAGAATTTATTAAAGAATGAAGTATTTTCAGAGAACTTAAAATGGACGATTGACTGTTTGAAATTAATTTTAGTAAAAGCGGGAATACTTTTAATAACTATTATTAAACCTAAAGGTATTGTAATTTAATACAAGTATTAATTTTATTTTTTAATTTATATTGAAAATTATTTGTCAAACAAACCTTGTAGAGTATCATAAAATAAGATAACGTAAAATGATTTTATTATTTTTTTTAATTGCTTCAACTTTATAAAAAAAATTTTTTTCTTTCCAAACAAGAAATAGATGTTGACAAAACAAGGATAGAAATGAGTTCTTTAACTTGAGGGACATGAGTGCAACAAGTAGCTGTAATAAATAAGTTTTAGGGGTCAGTATCACATTCATTATAGCTTAAACGGGTCCACTTCTTGAAACTTTTTCTATTAAAAATGCAGCAGTTTCGTTCTTAATTATTTCTATATTTAAACTTAGAATATTAAACATACAGAATTTTTATTTGTATAACTACATTAGGAAAGTTTTTTTTTCTTCTGATGAATGAAATTTTTCAACTGATGTTAGATACTTTAGTATTGCTGATTTCAAATCTGAAATCAGTTTCTCTCTCCAAGATAAAGATTTTTTTAAAATGACATTTTTATTTTGTCGAAATGTGCAAGTTTAACGACGTTATATAAAACTGGGAGGGGGGCAGCGAAAATATTGTGACAAACGTCTAGGGGAGAGGGTATATTACCAGAATTAAAATTGCATAGAAACCCATACCCGGAAATGTCGTCATACGCCTCTAGGGGAGCCTCTCTATTATGATTTGTTCCTTCGTTAGCAATTGAACAGATTCTAATAGGGGAAGTGCCCATAGCCGCGCATGACGACATTTCCAGGCATGGGCTCCTATGCAATTTTAATCCTGATGATGCGTCCTAACACCGCTAGAATTTTACCGCAACATTTACGGGGGCTTCTTGTGCTATATAATATTTTTAAACTTGTAAATTTCCACAAAGAATAGATTAAAAATGCCACTTAAAAAAATTATAGCTTTAGGAGCAAAATGTATTTCAATT